ATTCACGACAGCTGGAATGTCTCCAACAATTTGGACCCCGCCAATTCCAACCAAGTCGTTCTCATCGTGGAATATCATCAGTTTCATCAAATATAATCAGAGGGAAACGCTCATTGCAGACAAATCGCATAAAAGGCCTCTTTTGCAACGCTTCCTGTCCCGTCATAGTCAAACTCCTCCACCATTGCCTGTATTTCTTCATCCTCGAGACCCGTCTCACCTAGTTCTCGAGCGACTCTGCGAATATCATCGACTTCAATGTAACCTCGCTGGTCTGGATCGAATAGTAATAGGGCTCGTTCAACTTCCTCTGTAGGGTCGCGTTCGAATATCTTTTGCGCCGCTATGCGCTGAAACGCGTTTTGTGGTAAAAGAAGCTGGCTAGAGTGATATGTCTGTTGTCCTTTGACGGGAGGCCCTCTCTTAAACTGTGGCTTCGGCACCCCTTGCGATTGCATGATCTGCGCGACTTCTGGCTTGGGCATAGAAAACCCTAAAGATCTCATCGCGACGCGCACTTCATGGTAGTCTAGGTGCCGGTCCCGATCGAGGTCGAATAATGAGAACTGCAGAGTTAGTAACGTACTGTAGATGCAGGGTGAGTTCGGCGCATACGGCTTCATTTATTTCATCTCTTTGCTCCTCGCTTAATTCGCTAAGAGCGTTCGATTCTTTCTCCATACTCTGCCTCCCACCCAACGCGCCATGCTGGGGCGCGATAGACTGTCCGAACTGGTGTTGTTGCTCAGGCCGTCGCCCAAATGTAGACTGCGGATACTGCTGGGAGGGAACAGTGGTTCCGGCCTTTTGCGCCGTGCGATCGGGGAGCTTACTCGAGGACGCATAGAGATTTCGACCTGGAAAAGAGGGATTCGACATTGACCTGCTCGTAGTGGGCGCAGCTGCGCCTTCCGTCACCTGGACTGCCTTTGACGCGACATGAAAGGTGAAATCGTTTAAGCAGAAATTAATCAGCAGAGAGTGAAGCAGATAGTATTTCGTAGGAACGTGATGCGGTAAATTGTTATCGACTTGACGCGACCGAGCCATAGGACGCGACTGGCGCATTCCCTCCATACGGGTCACATTGCCCGCTAACCACTCAAGCCACAAACATAATCCTACGGACTTTGGCATCTTCTCCTCATTCCACCACCGCTGTCATCTTTGCGAATGAGGCCATAGCCGTGCTCACTCTCAAGTATTGGGCCCGGCCACCATGGTCTTGATACTAATATGCACAGACCTCATGGCCTGCAGCGAGTCATTATTCATTTCGACTACGACTGTTTCTACGCCTCAGTTGTCGAAAATGAGAACCCGGCCCTCAAATCGGTGCCGCTGGCCATACAACAAAAGCAAATTGTTGTAACCTGTAACTACGAAGCACGACGAAGGGGTCTGCGGAAACTTCAGCTTATCACTGAGGCCAAAAAAGTGTGCCCGGAGGTAGTGATTGTCCTAGGTGAGGACTTGACTCGTTTTCGTGATGCGTCCAAGGATCTGTACACTTTCCTCCAGCAGTCCATCTGGAGTGGGAGGGCAGAGCGACTTGGTTTTGATGAAGTCTGGTACGCTCGAGTCATCCAATTGTCAGCATCCTGCTGACGGCTCTACAGGCTCGATTGCACGGATATGGTAGACTACAACCTGGGTTTGCTCAATCCTAATGATCTTACTCACTCCTTCTTCTGCACGAACAGAGACGACCCTACGATTGGCTTCGCATATGACGCATCGAGTGTGTATGGTCCTACATTTCCGCCGAGTCCGTCGCCCTCTACCCACGTCTCTCAAGAATACGAAGAGTTGCAAATGCGCCTTGTACTTGGCAGCCACCTCGCAAGACATCTTCGGCACGAATTGGAATCCCAGAAAGGATACACATCCACGGTGGGAGTGGCTATGAACAAGCTATTGGCGAAGTTGGCTGGAAATGTGAACAAACCCAAAAACCAAACGACAATTTTGCCACCATGTGAACGAGTTGGCGGTGCTGAGAGCACTGTTACCCAATTTCTTGATGACCATGACATAGGAAAGATCCCCGGCATTGGATTCAAGCTGGCCCAGAAGATCCGTGCCCATATACTTGGGCGAGATGCGGCTTTTTCTGCAGGTCTAGTGTACGGTGGCACGAAAGAGTCAGTGACTGTTGCTGATGTCCGCACTTATCCTGGTATGGGATCTAAGCTGCTCGAGGATATTTTGGCTGGCCCAGGCTCAACAAAAGGTATTGGAGGAAAGATCTGGGACTTGATTCATGGGGTTGATGACTCGGAGGTCGCGAAAGTGAAGCGCATTCCTTCACAGATAAGCCAGGAGGATTCGTACATGAAGTACCTACACTCCTTCGAAGAAGTCAAAAAGCAGCTCCAAATTTTGGGTGAGAGATTGATTCGGCGCATGCATATTGATCTATTAGAGGACACCGACGAGGTTGGAGGCGATATCGAAATCCCGCAACGTCGCTGGGTTGCACATCCCCGGACTCTGCGACTGTCTACAAGACCTCGTCCAGCACTGGGTCCAGATGGAGCCCGAGCTCGCATTTTTCAGCGCACTTCTCGATCGGGGCCTATGCCGAACTTTGTCTTTAGCCTGAATGAGACCCCGTCTGCGCTGGCCCACCGTTTGGTCGAAGAAGCACTGATTCCAATGTTTCGAAAACTACATCACGAACAGGCCGGCTGGAATCTCAGCTTAATCAATGTTGCTGCCACGAACATGGCAGAGACAGCAGCTGAGACAAAAGAAAGTCAGGGGCGGGATATTGGAAGGATGTTCCGGCGACAGGATGAGGTGCTCAAGGATTTCAAAGTGACCGTCCACCCACAGGAAGCGGAGCACACTGGGTCGGCCATCCCGATGTCTCCAGCTGCTGAGTTCTCCGACGCAATGATGGCAAACTTCGAAATTGACATGTCGGCAGAGGATGCCTGGGAATCGGAAGATAGCGAGAGCCAGCCATTGGAACGGTGCGAGGTCTGTGAAAACATCATTCCGGCATTCGCATTGGCTGCGCACCGGAGGTACCACGAATTAGTCGTAAGCCATGATGAATAGACGCGAGGTCCACCGGAATCCAGCTGGACCAAAAGCCCAGATTTCTCGTACAGAATAGTTCTGATTGCGAGAGAATGCTGTTCAATCACGGGTGGATCAGTGGCTCAGCTGTCCTGGACACACAAAGGTCTTCGTACATAGCTGGAAGAGCAAGGCGACGCCGAAATGGTGCCCAATTCACCCATCACTATCTCGGAAGCGGAGTCACTATTATCCGTGGTTAGACTTTTGTCGGCATCGTGGGGCCAGGCTACTTGACAACCTTGGCAGATCTCACGCCTCTCTGATGCGTGAGAGGTGCTGACTACCCGGTACTCCAATTCTGGACTCCTCGTTGGGTGCCCGTCGTCTATTTTCAACCCAAACTTTCTCTCGCCTATTTCTGAAAACTCATCAACCCCGTCACCCAATGCATCTAGCCCTCTGCCCCTTGGGCTGCCCCCATTTCCCCCAATAGTATCATTTCAACCGCCAATTCTGGCCTTGCTGGCCTCTTCCCCATCACCCCTCCTTCAGGCAGTTCGATGCCGAAAATAGAGTCGAGCGCCTACGGATATGCGATCAAGGCCACGTTTTGCCCAATCTTCTCTAGCATCATCCCAGCACTGTTCCTGCATCTCGTGCTCTGGGCCAAGATGAAGCCGCCCAACTTCGTAAGCTAATGCGCACACCCTGTCCACCAGCTGTATCATTCTCCAGCTCTTCCTCCGGCCCAACAATCAAGCCACAGCTGTTACTCCATTCTCTCCAAGACACTCCTAACCGCCGACACCTGGTCAACGGATCCTGGAAAAGCACCAGGTCCGCCTGATGCCTGAAAGAGCAGGACAAGATCCCAAATACTCCAGGATTCGCCTGCACTGGTTTGCCTAGCTGGGGCAATGGCGGCAAATTTGGGAACATCTTTTTTTCGCCGGCTACTTGCCAGGATGACGCGGTGGGTACTCAGCACCGTTTGTGCCTTCCTACACCTGCAGCCATATCAGCTGCTCGCGCCCGAAGACCTGCGTTCATCTCCCCTTCTTACACGGTGCTGCCAATGTTGGTTTTATAGGTGTCGTGATGCTTATGTGAGGCCCATGGGCATTTTCCTGGATGCGAGTTTTTGCTTTAAGTTGGTGTGGCCCAGTGACCAAGATCCTGACGAGAAGGCTCCAACGATCTGGAGTTGAGCTCACCCCTTACGTGCTTACTCGCGTGCACCACCCCCCGACCATCCTAAATCCCAACCCAAAACCCTCTCGCTAGATCCCTCTTATCCACTTGGTCCTACCATAAGAACTACGGGGATATATGAGGGAGTTCAGCTGGAGTTGAAAGGCGAACTTCTCGATTTCATGAGCGGGTCTTCGGCGTTGTCAGAGGCTTCTGCAGCAAGCAAAATGCTTGCCATATCTATGGCTCAGCCTATACCACATATCCTATCTCACCTCGACCCGGTTCTCCCGTTATCCATGTTTCCGACAGAAAATGTCCGACCTCTACATCCTCCCTCACCGGGGAAAAAACCAAAACTATCACTAAGGACTTCAGATCTCGCTCCGACCTTTCATGAATCGACCAGTTGTCAGACCGGAAGCAATACTGGTGCTACCACGACCCCAACGACATTAAACACATTCAATAATACATTTGATCTTGCCTACAGACCTTCACCAGTGACAACGCTTCCATCACCGGGGACGCATTCGCAACCAAGAGGAAGTGCACATCCGAGCTCTCCGGTTGTAAAGCTCTCAGAGCATCCTTACATCTTAAATTTGCCTTTTGGCGTCCATTCGATATTGAAAAATAGTCCGCTTCCGCGAGAAATTCGCCGATCATCTGTCAGCGCAAGTCCTCGCTTGGCTGGTCGACGAGTGTTTTTTCCCGCAATCAAGAGGGTTGCGTTCCGTGTCGAATTGGAGGAAGAAATTTTCACAAAGACCTACACCATGCGCCACGCAGACCTGAGTTCGTCCGATGAGGAATCTCAACCTTCCGAGAATGAAGAGCAAAGTGGAACCTCCACCGATGAGGACGGTGACGGCGAGGTAGGCCGCCAAATCCGTGTGGATGAAGTTTCGCCGCGCAAGAAAAGGAAGCGGAAGTCTGTTGCCGTGTCTCCATCCCCTTCATCTGAACTGGAACGAGGCAGACAAGAAACACCGCAATGCGCAACTGCGAGTTCGAAACGGAAGCGACGGAGATGGGAATGGACTATAGACTCGTCAATATCTGGTCTAGCTCGATCGGGGAAATTGTCTGAAGTCAGAAAAGATCAGAGCCTTCCATTGGAAGAGCCGAGAAGATCTCTAGATGCAGATGCACTGCAGGATGTGAAGCGGTCTGAGGAGAATGGAGAGATCAGACAGATACAGGATTGTCTAAGCGGCTGAAGATGCATATTCCCAAAGAATTCTATGTACGAAATAACGGTATGGTATTCCAAGCATAAAATGTATGAGTCCTGAGATATGTAATTGTGAGGGGGGGAATAGTGAACCCGCCACTTGTTTTGGCGCCCTGCAGAAATGGTTGTGCGGGCGGACGAGACACTTCAACCATTTGATCTGTAGGAATTTTGAAAATTCTCAGCTTTATCATCGCCATCCTTCTCGGATTCCAATCCTTGCGGACGAACTGGTTCAACCTTTATTTCCACCGCCATAGCCTTCGCCCACAATGGACCGATCATTGAAATGTTTCACTAACTGTCTGCTTTGCATCTCGGGAGAATTGGTGGCTCAAGATCTGTACTTTAGCACTGAGCAAGGCACCATCACGCCCAACTACTACTTTCGGCAAGAAGGCGTCGAGAGAATAGATCTCGGTGGCAAAATCATTGCGCCCGGATTTCTAGATCTGCAGACCAACGGGATGAAGGGTGTACATTTTACGCAACTGGCCCTTGGTGATGGTCCCGAGACCGACGAAGGCAAGTTGGAAGCCGTCAGCAAAATGGAAGTTCGCCATGGGGTGACGGGCTGGTGGGCAACAGTTCCTACGGTAGACAAGGACCGGTGGAAGCAGGTAGGCTGATCTCGCTTCGTCTGCTCTCTGTCTGGTCTGTTTGCGATCGAGATAATATTTCAACCAGTCTGTTTTCACCAGCGTGCTGAACTCTGCCTTCAGATAGTACCACTGTTGAAACCACAAACATTTGACTCGGGCGCCAACTTGCTAGGCGCACACGTCGAGGGACCGTATCTCAACGCCTCGAAGAAAGGAGCGCATAACGCTGTCTACCTTCAAGAACCTACGCAGATATCTCCGTCTGACTTATATGGCGAGGGCAATCTCAGGCTCGCAATCAAGCTGATCACACTGGCACCAGAGCTGCCCGGGTCAACCGCGCTCGTGGGCTATCTGCAGGAAGAATACCCTCACATTGTCATCTCTTTGGGACATTCAGCGGCAACTTATGAAGAGGGGTTCGCTGCTCTGCAACTGGGTGCTCGAGCATTGACACATGTCTTTAATGCAATGCTGCCTCTCCATCATCGCAATCCTGGGCTTGCCGGACTGATGGGAACCGGTAAATGCTACTACTCGATCATTCCAGACGGAATACACCTGCACCCTTCAGTGGTAACCCTTTGTCTGCGGACGGATCCGAGAAAATGCATCTTTATCACGGACAGCATTGAACTTGCTGGCCTGCCCGACGGCGTACACGACGGGCACGGACAGATCGCACGGCACCAGCTCAAGCAAGGCAACAAAGTGACCATTGAAGGCACAGATACATTGATTGGCAGTTGCTGTACACTGGACGAGTGCGTGCGCAATGTAGTGGCATACACCGGGTGCAATCTCGCCGAAGCTGTGCAGTGTGTTACAGAAAACGTGGCGGATATGATGGGTGAAAGCAAGAGAGGGAGGCTCGAGCCTGGTCGACGCGCCGACTTTGCAGTTCTAGACCAGGAGGGACATGTTTTGGAGACATGGATCGGCGGGAGCAAGGTATGGTCGAGCTCGTGATGCAAGGCTTGAGATAACAGTACTCCCCCCATGGTGAAAGCCACTGATAGAGAGCAACCGAGTGAGGAGCGGATTATGATAACACTGTGTGGCGTAAGTGTGCAGATCGAGATAGACTCAAAGTCAGATATACGCTTGTGGTTTCCTAACAAGTACCTGTGCAAGGCAGGCAACGCTTTCGGACCTGAAGCTGTTTAGCTTGATGCAATTTCCATGATTTTTGGAGTGTTGGCTGACGATGGCGTGTGCGGTTTGGATCTTGATCGCCAGCTAAGCGATGAGGTTTCGCCTAGAAATGCCCCGCCGGACCCCCAGGTAGGCCTAGTATCGACGCCCTGTTGGTTCGTTTCCAGGCTTGGGCAAGCCACACACTCCTTTTGTTAGGCCCCGTCACCCCCGTCACCCCCTGTCGCCCCGTCGCGGGTGATGGCTTGGTTGCAGGTCAGTGTGGTTACGTCACAGCAGATCGGGAGCAGACATCATACTCCCAAAAACTGCAGCTTGCCAGCCAACTATGAAATTCACAAGACTGCTCACCATTCTCCTCTCATAGTTTCCCTTTGTCTGCCTTCTCTCTTCCTCTCACACTCCTTTCCTCGTCGTCGGGAGCTTGCCGCCTAATCTGTTGCAGCTTTGCTGGTCTCGCTCTGTCCCTTCGAGAGCCTTGGCCTCAGGCACAACCACTCTGTCAATTAGGGCTTCGCCCTCTCCCCTTAAGAGGTGATTATGGAGGCTCAACAGCAGAAGTCGGGAAAGCCCTGGAGTGGCACAAATCGAATCCCTAACATCAAGGAGTTCGTTGCACATCTTGACAAAGACAAGTCCGAAAGAGACAAGGCTATCGATGCTCAGAAGCTTGCTGGAGAGGCTCAAAAGTATTCGGCTGAAGTCACTCCACACAAGAATGAACAACAGAAGAAAGGCGGCAAAACAGTAACCGATCCGGTCACTGGCAATCAGGTGGTCATTGCCGATGTCGGTAAGGAGTATATGGAAAGGGCCGATAACCCCAAGGTATGAGTGAAACTCCCTCCAATCTGGCGGGTTCTCGCCTGACCTTCGACTAGCTATCAGTGCCAAATGCCAACCTGGGCCGACCTACTACAGTAGCGACGGATCCTTCGCAGAAGAACCCGGAGTACAAGGAAAAGCAAGACATCACTGCTCCTCCAGACCCAGTTGCCGAGGGCAGCACTTCTGATGTCCCCATTCATGGAGAAAAGACCAACATTCTGTTCCACCCGACCCCTTCAGTCAGTTATGAGCCGATGTTCGAGCTTCTGGAAAATCGGGCTGGTGGACTATGCATTGCCATTCTCATATCCATTATCGTTTTTGGGAAAATGTTCGGCGGCTCTCTGAAGGGTCTGATTCCATTGGGCATGTGCCTTGCTTCTGCCGTCTGGTTGTGGATGAAAGAGGTGGTACGAAGTGGCCGTGAGGTGGAATGGAGCAGTGAACAGAGCAGAGGAGAAACGGTGAGTCTTCGCATCCACTCAGTGGCCAGACATAGCCTGAGGCTGACATCGAATAGGCTGTGGCCAACCTCCTCCCTGAATCAGTAGAATGGATGAACACATTCCTGGGCGTCGTTTGGGGTTTGATCAACCCGGATATGTTTGCCGCTGTGGCAGACACCCTGGAAGATGTCATGCAAGCATCTGTCCCTGGTGTCATCAACAATGTCAGAGTGGCCGAGATCGATCAAGGAAGTAACCCAATCCGAATTCTCAGTCTGCGGGCTTTGCCTGACTCCAAAATGCACGAGCTTAAGAAAAGCATTCATGAAGAGAACAAGAAGACCAAAGACCCTCAGGAGGCGGCAGCAGACGAAGAAGGTGGTGATTATTATAACCTCGAGATTGCCTTTGCGTATCACGCCAAACCCGCTGGTAATCGTGCGTCTGCTGCTTCGAGGGCCAGAAACATGCACATGAACCTTGTCTTCTATCTCGGAATCAAGGGGCTCATCGGCGTACCGCTTCCTATTTTCGTTGAACTTCAAGAGCTTGTCGGAACCGTCCGCTTGCGGCTGCAAATGACCCCCGAACCACCTTTTGCAAAGAGTCTCACCTTCACCCTGATGGGAGTTCCTCATGTTCAAGCCGGCTGCATTCCCATGGTGCAGAAGGGGGTTAATATCCTCAATCTGCCGTTGATATCCAACTTCGTCAACTATGCGATAGGCGCAGCGGCAAGCATGTATGTGGCTCCAAAATCAATGCAGCTCGACCTGAAGTCCATGCTGCAAGGAGACGACATCACCAAAGATACACAGGCCATGGGTGTCATGTGGGTCCGCATCCATCGTGCCATCGGCCTCAGCAAGCAAGATCGTCGAGGAAGCAAATATGGAGGAAGCGACCCTTATATCAACCTATCCTTCTCCAAATATGGAAAGCCAATGTACTGCACTCGTGTCATCACAGACGATCTCAATCCCGTTTGGGAAGAAACCGCAGCTCTTCTTGTCACACCTGAGCTCATCAAAGCCGACGAACAACTCAGTGTGGAGCTGTGGGACTCCGACCGCAACTCTGCGGACGATATAGTAGGAAAGGTTGAGCTGTCTATGCAGAAAATGATTCAACATCCGGGCAAAATGTATCCTCAAATCTCAAAACTCGCCGGCACCCACCAGGGCAGCGAGATGCCGGGTGAGCTGCATTGGGAAGTGGGCTACTTTGGCAAACCCAAATTTCGACCTGCTCTTCGTACCGATGGCAAGGACAAAAACCTACCGGACGAGCTCAAGAATGACGAGAAGCTCCAAGATGAGAAAGGTGTTATCGACTCTGAAGACGCAGATGCTGTGGCACATACTCCCCCTGACCCGTTGTGGCCTAGTGGTATCTGCAGTGTTATCATTCACCAAATTGTCAGCCTCGAACTCGAGAACATCAAGGGCAGTGATGGCAATAGAAAGGGTAAAGAGTTTGAGCCAGCCAAGCCCTACGGGGAGGGCACCGACGAAGAGTCGATCAGTAAGTCCCAAGATTTTGGTTGCTCCCTTCTGCGTACTGACCAATGAAACAGAACTCCCAACTTCCTACTGTACAATCCTGTTCAATGATACGCTGGTGTACCGCACACGAGCCAAAGCTGTCAGCAGCAAACCCATCTTCAACGCCGGCACCGAACGCTTTATGCGAGACTGGAGGTCCGGAATAGTCACAATCACTGTGCGTGATCAGCGGAATCGCGAGCACGACCCTATCTTGGGTGTTGTGCCCCTTCGCCTGTCAGATATACTCACCACGAGTTCTCAAGTGACCAGATGGTATCCTCTTGACGGTGGCATTGGGTTTGGCAGAATCAGGGTTTCGTTGCTTTTCCGAAGTGTTGAAACTCGACTCCCTCCTAATATGCTAGGCTGGGATGTTGGCACCTTTGAATTCATTTCTGACAGAATCGTGGCCACAGGTTGGAAGGCCAATTCAAAGCTAAAACTCCGCACAGGTGGTAGCGTTGGCAAAATCCCCCGAACACAATGCCACAGTAATGAAGGTGGTGATGGCGTCTACTTCGATGTCTCCAGTGAGAACAACAACCATATCCGTCTACCTGTCAAGTACCGATATCGATCTCCAGTCATCTTTGAGTTCCACGTGACAGGCAAACGTGGAGCAGCGGCGTACGCTTGTATCTGGCTTCAGAATCTGATTGACAACGAAGAAACACCAATCGATATTCCCATTTGGACGACCAAGAATGGCAACCGACTCGTACAAAACTACATCACCGAAGAGAATGCCAAAGCATTTATGGATAAAGGATTAGAAGATCTGAAGGAAGTTGGCCGACTCCAGTTCCGAGGCCGCTTCAAGGCTGGCATGGATGAGTCGCACCGAGACTTTATCGTGGACAACAATAGTCGGGAGACTTATGAAACGTTCGAGGCATGCTTGACCGAAGGTGTGCGCGAGCGAGTTGTCCAAGGCGAGGTGCCAGAAAATATCCAAGAACTGCACGAGGCTTCCCTGAAAGAGGGCCGTGACATTCTCCACCAAGAAGTGTCGGAGAAAGAGAAACGCATATGGCTCAGCAAGACTGGCGAAGACTGGTCTGGGGCATTCACTCATGATCCCAGGGCTTACACCAATAAAAAGCATGAAAAGATTGCCGAGCCCGGTACTGACGAACCTCCCCATGATCCATATAACCCGTCAGATAATGATGATGACGACGACGAGCCTATTGATGATGACTCGTCAGACTTGGGCATCACTGATGCCACCAATGCTCCGGAAGAGGCATTCCAGAAGGACCCGAAGGACGTTGATGGCCTAAATGGCCATGCTGAAGGTATGAAAGGGCGGCCCAGTGCTGATACCACAGCAACAGGTGAGACCGGCTATACAACCATGACCGAGACATCGACGAACTCAGTTCAACCTGTGCAGAAGAGAGATAGCGGTTTCGAGAAGAAGACCGGAAAACGAGCGGAGGAACGCAAGCATCGAGGATTGTCGCAATGGACACCGGCGAGAAACGTCAAGTTTGCCAAAGATGAAGCCAAGATTGGAATGAGCAAGATCAAGAAACGATTCACAGGAGGGCTTGGTGGACGAGAGCCTGGTGTCGAGACCGAAGCTTGAACAAGATACAGGCCGATGAGTTATGTTTTGTCTTGTTCGAGTAAACAGATGTACCAGGAAGAAAGGAGGAATAGGTATCGGGCGATTAGAAAGCTGAAAGGCAAAACTTTGGCACATTACGGCGCCATTCGCAAGTGTCAGAGTATCGGAGCTTGGCAGAATCCAACGTTGATTACACGTCCCTATTCATACTGTGGGTATCTAGTGTTGTCTCAGAGGCGTTTGGGGAGACGTTGGCACCCAGGGGCAGAACGGATCTGCCGATATCCGAGATACTTGTACTTGTACCTCGTAGTGTGCGGACATGGTGGTCAAATAGTCGCTCGCCTGTAACTTGTGAGCTTGGCAAGAAAACCCCTTCCAACTGCTAAGCACTTGGGTGTTGATAGTGGCTGAGTCGCAGGATCGGTGTTTACGAGTAACGGTTTTCTCGCAGTCCATGGGTTACCTCATATGACCACCTCTTTCTAATTGTTGATGCCGTGGTCATGCCTCAAATCGGGTTGGATAACAGCGAGATTATGCCTCGGTACATATATTGATAGACTGGGCACACTCGAGGTCAGTGTTGATTTGAACGGAAACAGATATTGTCCCAGATGGGAGAGAGAACCAACGAACTCTGTTTGGTGTGTAGATCTTCTTCTGGAGTGAATCTTGACTGACTGCGGGTGTTTAGCGGTCGGAGTTTTGCTGAGCGTGGCAATGATTGCTTTAGTGGTTCCTTGGCGACTCGTCATGCTGGGAAAGGTGGGTAGGGCGCCAGGGCGCCTTTCCGGATCCCGATCATTTGGGTGGCTGCGCCCACCGACTTACTCGTACCCAGCCCGCAACCCGCTGCAAGGCGGCGGGTTTCCTCCTCATCCTGCTCGTTGCACTTCTCTGCCGTTGCTCGCAGCTCCCATCCCATTATCATTACCACTGCACCTTCGTCCGCACTGCCCGTCTGGGCATACGACAATTACATTCGTTCTTCTTGATCTACATACATCTATCGTTCCACCTTAACTTCTGTGTACAGTACACAGGCCATCTTCAGTCCATCCTGCCCTCCGCTAGCATAATTACATCTCGAAGCAGTTCAGGCTGCGCCGTCGACACATCCATCCCGACCTACCCACAACAAACACTGCAGTAAGAGGGATTTCTCTGCTGACTGACCCGACCGACTTACTCTCCGTTCGGACAATTGCTGTATAACGTTTCCTTTTGGGCGCCTGGATTGCCATCTCAATGCAAACTGAATCCAGAGCAATCTAAACACTCTCCGCAACCTGCGCAACCTCGCCCTCAGCCTTCTCTCTAATTTTCCGTCAGCGCAACATGCGCCTTCTTCAGAATCTCGCTACGGGCGTTGCATCATGTCTGTTGCTGTTGTTTGCGAGCACGGCCGATGCACACTCTCGATCACGGAATCCTTTAAATTACCTATCATTAATTGAAAACCCTCGAATACAAACACCATCACAAAGGGTGCACTGTACATCCAGCTTCGACTTGACTTTCGACCTACATCAGAGCACAGAACATGTTCGACTGAGCCTGGAGCCGAACAATGACATAATTCACGAAGACTCTTACATTGAATATATCGACAAATATGGCAACATCAGACACGTTGAGAAAATGCAGCGTGAGGAACACAAGATTTACCAGGGTAAGGCTTTTCTGGTTAACGACGACGGAGTAAACCGACATGTCGGCTGGGCTCGAATTGCTATCAGGCGCGATGGCGTCAAGCCTCTCTTTGAGGGTGCTTTCACTGTCATGGGCAACCACCACAACGTCCAATTGAAGTCAAACTACATGGCCACCAAGCACGAGCTTGATCCCGAACTGGAAGAAGATGAAGATGAGTATATGGCTGTCTGGCGTGATTCGGACGTCAGTCGGCAGTCTCATACGGAACTGAGACGGAGCGCGGGCCTGACCTGTGCTTCTGACAAGTTGGAGTTCAATACTCATCCAGACCATCCCATCTACCGCGACTTGATGCTCAAACGTGACGATGGCTTCTGGGGAGACATGGGCGCCATGTCAATTGCCAATATGTTTGAAAAACGTCAGAGCAACATCGATGGCGGCGGGGTGGGCTCAGGCAATTCAGCGGGAGTCAATCTGGCTTCTACCATCGGTAGTACCGCAGGCTGTCCAACCACTCGCAAAGTCGCCTTGGTCGGCGTCGCTACCGATTGTACATATACCGCGAGCTTCAACTCAACCGACACCCTGCGACAAAACGTTATTAGCTTGGTCAATACTGCCTCTGAGTTGTACCAATCTACGTTCAACATCACTCTCGGTCTCCGCAATCTGACTGTTTCCGACGGCGAATGTCCAGGGACACCAAGCACTCAGACGGCGTGGAATGTAGGTTGCTCAAGCAGCACCGATATAACACAACGGCTCAACCTCTTCTCTTCATGGCGTGGTCAACGAGGAGACGACAATGCTTACTGGTCTCTCTTCACCACTTGTAACACTGGAGCTGAAGTCGGCCTGGCCTGGCTTGGACAATTGTGCAATCACGGTTCCACTTCACAGCAAGACACTAGTGGCAACTCTCAGAGTGTCACTGGCGCAAATGTCATCGCGAAAACATCTAGTGAGTGGCAAGTATTTGCTCACGAGAGCGGACATACTTTTGGAGCCGTCCACGATTGTGATTCCAGCACTTGCGGCGATTCTAACGTTGTCAACTCTGGCCAATGCTGCCCACTGTCCTCCAGCACTTGCGATGCTAATGCTCAATACATGATGAATCCCTTCTCTTCACCAGACATTAGTAAATTCTCGCCCTGCTCCGTCGGGAATATTTGCAGCGCCTTAGGCCGCAACTCGGTCCAGTCACAGTGTCTTACTGACAACAAAGGTGTCGTTACCATTAGCGGCAACCAGTGCGGAAATGGTATTGTTGAGGAAGGTGAAGACTGTGATTGTGGTGGCACCGAATCTTGTGCTGGGAACAGCTGCTGCAACCCCACAACTTGCAAATTCAATACAGGCGCAGTTTGCGACCCCAGCAACGAGGGCTGTTGTACGACGACTTGCCAGTTCGCTTCTGTTGGGACTGTCTGCCGAGCTAGCACTGGTCAATGTGATCCTGCCGAGACATGCTCTGGCACCAATGGAACATGCCCTACAGACACCACCGCACCCGACGGGACTGACTGTGGCAGTGGGCTTGAATGTGCCAGTGGCCAGTGCACGAGTCGAGACCTCCAGTGCAAGACTCTCATGGGTAGCTACACGAGCGACAATGACACCTATGCTTGCAACAGCCAAACCTGCAGTTTGAGTTGTGCTAGTCCAGACTTTGGACGAAACGTCTGTTACAGCATGCAACAAAACTTTCTCGATGGTACCCCGTGTGGTGGTGGTGGTCGATGCGAGAATGGTGTATGCAGGGGCAGCTCCATTGGGGGCGAAGTCAAGTCGTGGATTGATGACAACAAAACTCTGGTGATCGCTTTAGCCAGCGCAATTGGAGGTCTCATACTACTAGCTATACTGGGATGCTGCATCAGGGCATGCAGACGACCAAGGGGAAAGAAACTGAATGCCATTGTCCCTGGGCAACGCCAAAACAGAGGTGGAGTTCAAGGGGCACAACGTGGCGGCTGGGAGGGACCTCAAATTCCCCCACAGATGAGAGACCGTGGATATGGCGGCGGATGGGAACCGTCGCCTGTACAAATGACCTCGCCACACGGCTGGTACCCTCCTCAACCACCGCCTGCGTACGGTGGTTGGGATGGCTATCCCCAGCGAGGAGAAAGTGCGAGGTACGCATAAAGGAGATACGTGGCGACAAAACTGTACAGACAGAAAGAGGCGAGTGATGTACAGCCTTGTACTGCACAATGGGATATCTATGCCTGGATAGATCGGGTATTAGAACGGACCGGTGAACTCACTACATATTTTATACGGCGTCAAAAGGTCTTGGGTATCGGGGTTTCACTTGACATGACCTACTTGACGAACTGAATCAAAATGAATGATCAATTACCAACCATCTCGAGTCTTTCTTTTTGAGCTCGAGCCATGGCTTTTGAGATGTGCTTGTTCCATTATGTGATTGAATTGTATACTGTATACGAGATCCTCGCTACTGTATGCTCGGCAGGGGTCCGTAGCTAGTTGCTCTGATGGACGCCGGGTGGGAACCCCGTGGGACAGAAGCGGGCAAATACCGAACGCAAATTTTCAAGGGTACCACATTTTGAGCATCGGATATCTCTGTTGGTGAAGTTACCAGTTGATGTGTCAGGACAATCTCTACACCCGACGCGCAGAGGAACCAGTCTGGGTGAAGAAAACGAGGCCGTGGTGGCTATCAAAGCCTGATCAAAGTAATACAGAACGGGGAAAAGTGAGATTATGGTTAGACATCCGTTGGGTGGTTGGGTGGCAGCCCGTGGTTAAGTGGTTAATATGAAGAGCGACATTGTTTCTCCCGATCTCGCAATCATTTCCTGCCCCTCTCACTGGTCAACCCAGCTGGTTTTCACACACTCTCTAGGTACTCAGTATATGGCTTTTTATCCTCCCAAGTCGCACTTCCCCGATTTTTTTGATCTAGGTTCTTGTGGTGTTCAGGACTCATGAACTTCAACTTCGCAACGACCACCGCAGCAGTCCGATCCGCCTCTCGTCAAGTGTTTCGAGTAGAGCTACCGCTCGCTAACAGAGGCAGTCCAACGCATTCGAGCCATACCCCCGTTTCTCGCTGCGCTTTCTCATCCTCGCCTGGAATGGACGCCAAGTTTGCGCCTGCAAAGCGCGTCGCGGGGCAGAGGCAGGATGTTTGGTCTATCGTCAACGAGGCCGCCGCAGCGTCTCCCGTGCAGCCGATTGTGAACATGGGCCAAGGGTTTTTGTGAGTATGCAGGCACACGCACCGACATGACTGCTCGTCCCCATTGTGGAAGGCTCGAGGACTAATACCTGGTCAACAGTGGCTACAATCCTCCCCAATTCATCATTGATGCTGCGAAGAGTGCGCTTGACCGAGTAGAGTGCAATCAGTATTCCCCTACCAAAGGCCGGCCGAGGTTAAGAAAGGCCCTCGCCGATGCATACTCTCCCTATTTTGGACGAAAGTTGGATCCAGAAACCGAAGTCACCATTACAACGGGGGCCAATGAAGGTAGGAGTCATGGAAAATCCAGGATGAACCAATACTGAATGGTTGCAGGCATGTTGAGTGCGTTCATGGGGTTTATCGAACCAGGCGACGAAGTGATCATATTCGAACCCTTCTTCGACCAGTATCTTAGTAATATTGAGATGCCCGGCGGAACAATAAGATATGTCCCTATGCACCCACCCGCAGACGGCGCGGAACGAACATCCTCTGCGGCGAACTGGACCATCGACTTTGACGAGCTGGAGAAGGCATTTAACTCCAAGACAAAGATGATTGTGTTAAACTCGCCTCACAACCCAGTCGGGAAAGTTTTGAATAAGGAAGAGCTGACGAAAATTGGCGACCTGTGCTTGAAACATAAAGTCATCATCCTGTCGGACGAGGTGTATGACCGTTTATACTATGTTCCCTTCACAAGAATAGCTACACTCTCCCCCGAGCTCGCCAGAATAACCATCACCGTGGGGTCCGCCGGGAAGAATTTCTACGCGACAGGCTGGCGCGTAGGCTATCTAATCGGCCCTCCAGAGCTGATCAAATACGTGGCCGCAGCACATACGAGAATCTGCTACTCGAGTGTTTCACCTTTACAAGAAGCAGCGGCAATCGGGTTTGAACAGGCAGACAAAGTCGGGTTCTGGGACCAACAAATCACAGAGATGAAAGGCAAAATGGACCGCTTCTGCCAGATCTTCGATGAACTGGGCATTCCCTACTCAGTTCCTGAAGGTGGCTACTTTGTGCTCGCAAATCTGTCAAAGGTCAACCTTCCCGAGGGCTACAAGTTCCCGGATCATGTCAAAGACCGCCCACGAGATTTCAAGATGTCGTGGTTTTTGATCATGGAGTTGGGGGTTGCCGCGATTCCGCCGAGTGAGTTCTACACGGACGAAAGGGCACATTTGGCGGAGGATTGGATGAGATTCGCCGTTTGTAAGAACGATGATGTCTTGGAAGACGCAAAGGACCGACTGAGGGGTCTGAAAAAGTATATGGCCTAAGATCAAACTCTTTTATAGAAGTTTTGGCAAGTTGGAGCTATATATATATCTATATACAAGATTAGAGTGCTCTGACATACTCACTGTGGTTTTGGACGATGCATATAGAAGAACACGACATCCGTCTGCCTGGACTTTTACTTGGTCTTTCGCGTACAAAGACGATTGTGCTTGTAGGCGTTTTTTAAAGGGGATGCTCAGCCTCGTCACGAGCGGGGGTCAACGCGTGCAACGCGATGTGCCGAGTACCAAGTACTCCAATGATTTACAATCGCAGGCTATTTCACCACCATTGCAGTCCCATCTTGCGCTCAACTTGGTCATTGATATCTGCATTGTAATACGTTGAAGTATGACATACCCATGATGGTGGCATGCCCAATCTGCGGCAAATCTGTCAAACAAACCACGATCAATGACCACATTGATTCCAACTGCACCGAGTATATCGAGAATGACAGCAACACATCCACACCTGCGCCGGGCAATTTCTTTAAGACACCCGTCGCCAAACGCGATGCTTTCTCCTTCTTCTCATCCTCTCAGCCCATTCCATCTCCGAGCGATCCTCGACCGTTGACGGCGACACCGAAACGACCCTTCGACGCTACGTTGACGCAGCAGCCGAATGGACACACCGTGATCAAGAATGATGAGACAGGTTCATCTCACAATGGTGCCGAAGCGGCTGCCCCCCCAATCAAGAAGCCCAAACACAACCCCTTCGAAAAGGCTGCGCCGCTAGCAGAACGCATGCGCCCGAAGACCCTCGATGAGGTGTGCGGACAGGACCTCGTGGGCCCTAACGGCGTGCTGCGGGGCTTAATTGAACAAGATCGTGTGCCCAGCATGATTCTCTGGGGCGCCGCAGGAACAGGAAAGACGACCATTGCGCGAGTTATCGCGGGAATGGTGGGCTCTCGCTTCGTGGAGATCAATAGTACGTCTTCGGGGGTGGCGGAGTGTAAGAAGATCTTCGCCGAAGCCAAAAGTGAGCTGGCCCTCACGGGTCGCAAGACAATCATATTCTGCGACGAGATCCACAGATTCAGCAAGAGCCAGCAGGATGTCTTTCTCGGTCCTGTCGAGGCCGGACATGTCACGCTGATCGGTGCGACGACGGAGAACCCCAGTTTCAAGGTGCAAAACGCTCTTCTATCGAGATGTCGGACCTTTACCTTACAGAAGCTCACCGACCAGAATATCTGCGAGATCCTTCAACGGGCACTGGAAGCGGAACGCGACAATTATAATCCCACGGACCTCGTGAACGAAGAATTGATCAGGTACCTTGCTGCCTTTGCTGATGGTGATGCTCGCACTGCCCTCAACCTTCTTGAGTTGGCCATGGACCTCTCCCGGCGGCCAAATATGACTCTAGATGATCTGAAAAAATCGCTGACAAAGACCCTTGTCTACGATCGAGCCGGTGACCAGCACTACGACACCATCTCCGCATTCCACAAATCGGTGCGAGGTTCCGATCCTAACGCCGCATTATACTACCTCGCGCGCATGCTCCAGTCAGGGGAAGATCCGCTGTACATTGCCAGACGGATGATTGTGATCGCAAGCGAGGACGTCGGACTGGCTGACAATTCGTTGCTCCCACTCGCAACCGCAGCATACACAGCGTGCGAGAAAATCGGTATGCCCGAGGCGAGAATCAACCTTGCCCACGTCACCGTGGCATTGTGTCTTGCCCCAAAGTCAACCAGGGCGTATCGAGCACTTGCGAATGCGATGCACGCTCTCGAAGAGCCCGGGATTGCGGGTCTACCTGTCCCGATCCACTTGAGAAACGCACCGACGCGGTTGATGAAGGAATTGGGGTACGGAAAGGAGTACAAATATAATCCGGACTACGTGGACGGAAAGGTCAAGCAAGAGTATTTGCCTGACAGATTGAGGGGTCGAGAGTTCCTTGAAGAAAGAGACTTGGGAGAGAACATCGACAAGGACTTACTAGAAGAGGGAGAGCCAGGGAAGGCTGTTAAAATCGTCAATGGACTGGACGGCCATGGCTGAGAAAAGATGGAGTGACGACTGGGACCCTGAAATCAAGGACCTTGAGCACAACAAAGTGTCCAACTTGCGAAGGCTGGGCCATTCAGTGGATACAGGGAGATCCCTCGCTTCCGGGCCGCTGTTCAACAAACGATATCAAAGTGAGGGAAGACACAATTCCAGCAGTTTCCGAGCCCGCGCCTGTTCTAAGCCAGGATATTGTTTCGATGCGACAATCCTGTCAAGGCTATTTCCAGAGCGAGACGACATTTCCTTCAACGTGCCATCCCAAGCAGATGCCATATGCGGGTCTCGGAATTTGTCCTCCATGTCCGGCAAACAGCGATGCGCCCACAGAAGCGGCATTGACAATTCACACTTCACGCTAACGAACACCCTAGCCATGGAGTATCCAGCCCGAAACTCCTACCCCTGCAAAGTCTCTTTTGTACAATCTAAACTCTGCGCTTGGATACCCGTTTGTGGACATAGGAGACCTCGGCAGACTGAGATTCAAATGAGTGGATGTCGGCTGTGCTGCTCTGTGAAAGATCCACGGGCGTTTCATGAGTTGAGTTGAGAAAGTCTCGTGGGCAGTTTGCGGTGGACGTCCGTTTACATTCTTTCGAATTGGAAGAACACGAGCGGCGAACAGAACCATTCAATCTTGACAGAATTCAGCTCATCTTTCAAAGAGCGACATAACTATGAAACCCCTCCACGGTTCCACAACACGCACAAGATCCAATTTGCATTAAATGCACCGATGAGAAGACCCGTGGATGAAGAAGGACAAAGGCCAGACGAGTATAGAGGAGGAGACAAGTGGACTATTTCGCTGGGAGAGTGGGCAAATGAGAGATCTTATTGCCTCGTCACTCTGTAACGGGGATGTGCCATCTTCGCCTTGAGGACCAGGGGATGCTGACACGAGGCGCTGGCTTAGTCTGTCTGCCTGGTATATACGCATGTTCATGCTTTGGAAAGAATTGTCAACGCTGGGTTAGAGTATTTAGTCCTATGGTAATATGTTCCTCGTAGATCATCCGGATTCACATACTAGCTCTGCAATACTGGGTATGTTTTCCGTCGTAGTTTCGAAAGCGCTCAATACAAGGTGATACAGTGCCTGTGAGGAACTTTCGTGGTTGACTCCTTCTCCTGGGCCGTGATTCTGACACATTTGTGGGTGTGACAGAGTGAGTTGCGATTGTCTCTTACGCAGCTTCAATTGGTGGGGAAAGCTGCCTCGGTGGTTCATCGGCGTGCAATTCAGTGACACGTCAGGATCAGGTTGATCCTACGCATCCTTCCCTTCAGGCTGCGCATCGCTTTCTCCCTGCAGATTAAAAACCCTCAACTCCATTCTTAGCAAGCAAAATCTAAGGTCTAAAGATATTCCTGAAGTTCGTCGAAACCTGGTCAGCGTGCCGTCGAGTACCCCGCTTCGTCCCTTCGCAGAATCCCTAAAAGTGAGGTGTCTGATCGTACAGACATGGCTGCGCCGCCGGAGATCACTTGCACCAACCTGTCGGGCAAGTTCGTCATGGTAGTTAAATTCCTGCTGTCCAGGGCCTGGGTCAATCTGACACGTTACAAGAATAAAACCCTCTCAGATGATATTGATTCCATGCTCGCTCTCCAGGGCCTGAGCTGGCTCACGCGAACCGCCATCAGCTTGGCTACGGTCGTCGTACGTTAAGGGCAGTATGATGTTGGCCAGCGAGACTGACCTCCTGCAGCTTACCATCAAAGAATACAAGCAAGAAGACATCTACCACATCGATATCACGTCTGTGGCTTCGGGCCTTTCAACGACTCAAGAAAACCGCACACTGGACTGGCAAGAGCGCGACCACCATGATCGCATATTCGGGAACTGCCGAGGCAAGTCAAGATTCTGGATGACAGGTGAATACAAAATGGAGGGCCCGGGTACACAAGAAGACGCGGTGTTCTTGCAGGCCCAGAAACTCAAGGACGGGCAGACAGATTCCAAGTTTCTGGACGATGAACACGTTCAAAGCTGGGTGAAGAACATGGATGAGGCTGGCTGGCAGGCGGAGCAGAACTGGGGGTTTGAAGAGATCAACGGTGAACGGCGATACACTCGGCGAGTACTGGTCTGGAAGGGAAGCGAGTTTCGAAGAGCCCGCCTCGTGTATGACTATAAAGGACAGGCTGAGAAGAAGGAAGACGATGACGATGACCTGGCGTACGGTGAAGAATGAAGAGTGACGAATCACGCATGATAATCTTATATGCCGGGAGGACAATGATATCCAGAGAGACCAGCATGAAAACCATGTGCAGGTATGTCGACGTACCTGGAGAGTGAATGAATTGGCTGTCAGACTTTCCATTGCGCGGAAAGTTGGCGCCCCATTGATATCCCGGTGATAGCAAGGTTTCCCTAGAGCACAAAAATACACAAAGGTCAAACTCAGATATGCCTCGATATCTTCCATTCGCGTATCTCGCGAACTTGTACTCGTCTGTGTGCGTGTGGACATCCGCTCCGCATAATTTGGAAGACATTGCGTAACCCTCTGACGTCAAATGGCTGAACGGGCAGGACAAACTCTTTTCCGATCCGAGCGACCCTAATGAGCCATTTTTCGCGGGGTGCTTAAGGCTGCACCGAGTTATACAGGAAGTTATACTCAGTGAGGCAGCTGTAGCGACGCGCTAACCCGCTTTTGCCCATTATATGCGCAGATGGAGGCAATGCAAGTCTTCAGCTAGCCAATCCTCGGTTTTTCTTTTGGTGTTTGTACCTGAACGCGAATATGGCGCTGAAAATACCTCACAAAGGCCGAAAACGGCGTTTACCACGAGGCTCCGTTTATGTCATTGCGCCCGAAGCGATATAGTACAGACGTGCCTATATAACGGTGAGCCGGCCTTCTGGATCTAATAGTCGTTTGTGTTGGTGTCAGACCAGAAAGTTCACCCAAAATCATCATACGAGTAATTGCGAATTGAGATACCTTTTCCTCCACCAGCATTCTCGAAACAATCATCGACATATAACTCCAGGACTAATATAGTGCTGTGACTACCAATAATAACTACACGTACGACCCAACCACCGCCTCCCAGTATCTATCAGTCAAAAGAAAAAACAAATGGCGTTTTTCCACCACAGCCACGAAAGTGAAGAAGAGACCTCCGACCGTCGCCGCAGCAGCAGCAACTCTCTCCGCGACCTCCAAGCTCGAGCGTACGCCAAGTGGGTTGTGGCAGGAACAGTGAAGAAGAGCAGCAACCAGCACGCCGGCTTCGAGGCCGAACGGTCTCGACGGCATTTTTGGCAGGAGGAGGCTGCCCGGTTTGGCATCGTGATGAGAACATGAGTTGTATCACCACCACCACCGCCGCCGCCGCCGCCGCCGCCGCCGCACCTGCCACAGCATAGGAGGAGTTTTGGGTGTTGTTTTAGGAGAAAGGCAAGCCAAACCAAAGGACGATAGCGTGGGAAACACGCAGACTTGTCATGGCCATGATTATTGAGCTGGCAGTTGGTTTTGGTTTTTGGTTTTAGTTTGGGTACGGGGTTGTAAAACAGCTTTGGGAAGCGATGGAATTTCTCAGCATTTGGCATCTATCTCATGATATGGTCCGACAGCACATCTGTATAAACAAAGACAAAATATCCCCCCAGACTTGGCTCGTTAAATTGTATTATCATCAACAGGCTTTTTACGGTGTTTGAGTCCTAATGCCTATCCTGCGTAGCAGCTCTTTCCGGAACTCTGCGGCACCGACTTTCATCCGGTCGGCCGCACCGCGATTCTCGACGAGTCGCCGCGTCAGGTACTGCATGCATTCCTGGATGCTGCCCCACGTCAGACACTTGTATACTCTGGGGATATAAGAGTTGGCAAGAGGCAGCGCGCTGTCCCGCTTGGTGTTGTCGGCCATTTGGAGCAGCTCGCAGCCGATGTCGTCGGCCATGCCCTGCAGTTGCCCGAATTCCGGGACGACTTTCAGCTTTGATTCGGCTGCCAGGGTGGAGGCCAGTCGAGCTGCACCCCGGATGGTGCTGGCATTGTGACCCGCGAGGAGCAGGTCGAGGTCTACCGACTCTTGGTCGGCCATGGCAGGAAACTTCCCGCAGAGGAGGTCCTCCACGATGCCGTTGTACGAGGCATCCGTGTCGGCCTTTGTGTCGTGGATCGCCTCCCTGATGTCGTTGTTGATGTAGGCGCCGCGCACGAGCTTGATGCCCAGCCGCCACCCTTCCTGGCGTGAAAGCTGGAGCTGGTGTTGGACTTTGTCGCGCGAGGATTTCAGGTAGGCTTGGATTGTGTTGTATATCAAGGCCCGGCGGCCGGGCTGGTTGTAGCGACGCATGAGGTCAAAGGTCCATTGGTCGATGGCTGCCTGCAGGGTTTGCTGCTCCGCGTCGATCCAAATCCGGCAACCTTTGCTGGCAGCGCGTTGGCAGATCTTCTCCATGGCTTCAACGAACTTGGCTGGTGCCTTGTCACCTTTCATGAGGGCTTTTGTGATGTTCGTCCCCGCACCGCTGTACCTGCATGTTGGTTGGCATTTCTGTTTTCAAGCACCAAAAAGGAATCGCTAGGTCGGACTTACTTGATGCCCAGCCAGTCGCCCTCGCCGATCATATCCAACGTTGCAAGGTTGCCATCTGCCCACTGCTCGATTTCCTTGTCCATCACCGCCGCCTTACTATCATCGTAGCCGACGAACTTGTCGCCTTCGACTTGGACCTCTCTGCCGTAGCACAACACCACCCCGGAGAATCCCAGCCGTCGAATCTCGGCAGATGTTTGGCCGATTTCTTTCTGGTTCCTACCGGCGCAAAACTGTTTGTAGACGAGAGGGTGGACGATGGCGCGAACGAGTGGATTCCGGTCTGGGTTCAGCCATGCCGATTGGGAATGTGCGATTTTCTCGAATACAGCAAAACCCGGCCGGAAGAGCCACGGGGATGTGAAGAAGGTACTCAATAACAAGGTGCGAAGGAGGCTTGAGGTCGAGAGACGCGCCAGGGGATTCGTCACGGTGGTGTCGCCGGCATTGGTAGAAGCTGGAATTAACGGTTCTTTCGTTGTTCCCTGATTGATCACGGTCTGAGCGTGAGCAGAGGAATGGGACTTCCGTTGACTGCAGGCATAGCGAAGGGGCTGTTGAACGTTTACTCGAGTCCGAAGAGTATTCGTCAGAGAGGAAGCCATGCCCAGGGGTAAAAATTCAGTGAAATATTCCTGGACGACTAGTGGTAGTAGTCATCTCGAGCCATCTTATAGCGATGAACGGGCCAAGGGTCTCGGCTGGAGCACCGGGGTGTACGATAATGCAGAGCATCGTGACCATGTACATAGAGGCGGGGAAGTTTGGCCCGTCGACTGATATGCCCTGTTGGGTCATGTGGTGGCATGCTGGACGAACATGATCCAGCACAGGTGTCTACCATTGAAGGAGGGGTTCGGAATCTATGTAGCGAATAGGGTTAGTCTGGGCAAGAGACGGAAGCCATGGCCGTTGGAAAAGCACAATGCAACAAAATAAGATATGCGATTCGAGAACAAGAAAAGAATTACTGTTTCTGGAAGTATAACAGCCCGAGATGGCGGGGCATCGGACAAGGGTGTCATCGGATTCATGCCCCGCCTCAAGTCCCCCTCCTCGGGATAATTGATTTGAGTCGATGCTGAGATGTGGCGTACTCTTCTCCAGACTTCGGGCAGCCTTCCGTAGCGTTGCCAATCCTTTTGTGTCTACCCAATGCCTGGTATGCCGTCGTTGCAGTTGCAGTGGGGGTATCTTCCCATCCTGCCTGCTGTACTTATCAACAGCCCTGGAGGAGACGAAATGGAGCGATAGAGAATATGATAGGTAATTCGATGAAATGACGGATATGCATTCTAATTTCAGCGTACGAGCAACATTAAGTCGATTTCTATGTGGACGGGTTGATTCTCTATCCTGAAATGGCCTTCCACACACAGACTAACTACAGGCGTGCTTTGAGCATTTTCTCCTTCTCAGCCACAATGTCCTTGACCTCCCCAGTTGTTCCGATCCTCCAGGTCACCTCGTCGCCCCATTCTTTCCCCCCTTTGCCTTGACTTTGCTTCCACTGCCACCTGGACAAGACCTGCTTTCCGTCTTCCAGGAGCTTCAGGGCCCATTGGCCGACGATTGGCATCATCTTGAACCCGTGTCCAGAATCCCCGGACATGACGACCAGAGAGTCTCCCGTGCCTGGCATAAAGTCAATGCAGTACTCCGAATCTGAAGTATCTGCAAACCAGCACATCTTCTTGTCCACAAACGGGCGGTCGGCTAGCCACGGTAGCGTTTCTTGAAGTAATCTCCTCAGCTTACGCTCATCGGAAAGCGGGATATAGTCCTTTGGCGAGTTTAGTAGATCGGCAGGAGGTAGCGAGACCCCAGTGCCCGTTTCTGAGTTGATATATCCGGCGCCAAGAGGACACAGCTTGAGGAGTCTGGTGGCCGGATCAGGTTCGAAAAAGAACCCTAGGTCTCTGATGTTGAGGACTGGGATTCCACGTAGGTAGTCGCACTCCCGTTCCGTGAGTTGGACGTGAGCTACCGACCAGCATTTGGCGACAACAAATGACCCCACGCTTGGGAGAAGCGTGGCTGCTGAAGCTCCTAGGCAGACGATGGTACGTCGGGCATGATGGACCTGTCCGCTCGCCACCTGGAATCCTATGCAGCGCCTCTCGGCAGAGCTCTCGTTGCCGCTGTATAGAAGCTTCACGGCTCTACCATCTTTGGGTCCCAGGACAAACTTGACTCCTCTACCAACGAGATGCCGATGTGTGTCTATCATGGCGTTGGACGAATGGGCATATCCGGCGAGGCGATTGAAGTACCCTTTGAAGCCACGCATGGGCCCGGAAAACTGCCAATACACTTTCTTGAAGTCTTCGTTCTCATTCAGCATGGTGATGCCTGGAGCGAAGACCGGGTGGTCCTTGACCGACACAAGGGCATCTTGCAGATGCTTGACGGCCTTTTCAGGAGCCGCGCCCGAAGTTGCGAGAACATAGCCCACTTGATGGAAGCTGGATCCCCAGAAGGGAGTCTTCCACTGATTGATGGCTTCCTGGATTCAGAATTAGACATTTTCTTTTGTTGGAACTGGTCCAGAGCCCCGGCTTCGCGCGGAGTGGCTACTTACAAGTGCCAATTCTGTGTAGAAGTTATCTTCATACTCTGCTCGGACGATCTTGTTCAAATCGTATGCTCCAGAATATGGTGAGGGTATCTCCGAGGCCTGGTCGAAGACTGTGATGTTTGTGTAGCCCGCATTGAAAAGGTGCAAGGCCGTCGACAAGCCCCAAGCTCCCGCCCCCAGGATCGCGATGGGTTCGTTCTTGTCCGGAGCCATTCTCTCTATTCAAATCACAATACGTGATGAATTTCTCCTTTGTGGTTTTGGCTCCCTGTAAATCTACTAAATAGTTGGAGGATGATATTGGAGACAAGATCCACCTTTTCGTGTTCCACTACTTCATTGGTATGTTCTTGTGATCCTGGGCGATACGAGGATGTCACACTTCGGATCGGATGCCGTCCCGATATTGACTCGTCCCAACTTCACCTTTTCCATTCGCTCCGAATTCTTGCCATAATCGGCTTATACGGGTCCGGATCTATATTCTCGTTGCTGTTACATGTGCTGTTGACGTTGGAGTCCCAATGAAGAGAATGATTCTGCATGTGGGAATTGACCATTTTGGCTATAGGCCAATGCGCATTTGACTTGACGAAGGCCCTTGAAGCATGAAACGTGCCTCCCATATATTCAAATCCTGAAGTTAGCTTTCTGAACAGGAACGAAGCATACTAGAGAAGCGACTTGTCGACTGCACCCAGACCACCCCTGCAATCACGAATAATATGACTGCCGCAGCACCAACTACGAGGATTGGAAATACTTCTACAAACACAATAGCCGGTGCCGCGGGAGGCGTTGTCTCTGTTCTCCTTGGTGAGTTGCTACCTCCAAAGTCGGAATGATTGCTGATTGTTCTCTGCAAAACAGGTCAACCATTTGGTGAGGAATGACCATCTAGAATTGCCAACCACAATGCTCATGTTACTATTTCTATGCAGATCTGATAAAGGTGCGACTGCAGACTCATGGCTCTGGCAACGTCGTCCAAGTTGTCTCCCGAATTCTGAGAAATGAAGGACCACTAGCTTTCTACAAGGTAAGCGATGGCGATATATTGTACGTTCGGACGCATTTATCTCTGACCATCTCTGAAGGGTGCTCTACTACCTTTCCTAGGAGTGGGAGCGGCAGTAAGCATTCAGTTCTCTGTCTTTCACAGCGCGACGCAGGCGTTGA